AAACAAACAAAAACAATATACAACATTATACTTACTAGTACTACTACTAAGCATAATGCTATCTTCACAGAATTAGATAACTTCCACTTGTCTAACCTCTTCCTTTCTGCTGTAGCTTGCAAGCAATCTACATGCTGTTGAAATTCCTTAATACATAACCCTGACCTCTTAGGAGCAAATTTTTAGTTTTCTCTAATATGTTTGTCAGTTCTTTAATGTCTGACTCTACATTTATACTTCCAAACATGCATACATCTGCTGACATTATAGCTAGTTCTTGATCTCCAGGGTTTCCACTCTTTCCCATTTAAGCATTGAAAATACTTGCTCCAGTCTCTTATACCCCACTCAAATGCCCTTGACAAATTCTCCACCAACTTCAATATGCCCTCTATCTAGGTCCTCTATATAAGCACTTCATTCAGATAATGTAATCACTTTTTTCTCGAGAAAGCATTTGGCATGAGTTTCTATAACCAAGAGTGTTCTGATTATTCACAATTTATGCTGTGACTTTAAACGTGGTTGACGTTACTATGGTTTCATCTTTGTTTATATTTATAAATCATTATAACCAAAAACAAAAACACATAACGACCTCTTCTCTTCCATCTCTGCTATCTGGTGTTGGTGAATGGCCAGGGGAGGGGTTGAATGGCCCTGGAAGACATTGTGCAGGCTGGTATGTGTACTACTACCAATACTTTCCTATCCCATTACTTACATGATCTGGCAGTTTCCTCTTCTGAGGGTTTTGACTACCCCCCTGTAGTAAAGCTAAAGTGAACCCTGCCAATCTTCAGGTTGAATAAATTGGGGTTGGTTTGCTTTTTAAAATGTAGGGAACTTTGTTCACCTATTGCACAGTTTCCTGAGCACTGTTCCTCAGGACTCACCAATATTTGGTTTAATGTCAGGTTCTCAGTAAGAAGCTAATGAAATACAAAAAGAAGACATAGTATGGGATATGTAAAGATGAGCTTAAGCTGATTTTAGGTTATAGAGACAGGTCTATTTTTCATGAAAAATAGTGTAATCAATCTCGCAAAAGGTTTTCATAATGCATGTGTTACATTTGTAGGAACGTAACTTTATTTTGATTTCAGTGTAAAAAAATTATACTTTATCGAAACTAAGTAAATGTGCAAATTATGCTGTAGTCAAGTGGCATTTCATTATAGGATTTCAAGATTTTGAATACCTTACAGGCTGCTTGTGAAAACTATAAAGCCTATTAAGTATTCTAAATTTTTAATTTAGCTTAAAAATAATTATAACAAACCTTTTTTTGCTTATAAAAAAAATCTGCAATATTATATTTGTACACTTATCAGCAAATATTTCATCACCTGATCAGTATTATTTCGGAAATGAATAACCATTTTAACAAGACTCCTGGATCTCTGCATCAGCCTTTCCTTTTACATTTCCTATTTTCTTAGGAGTGTACCTCAGGAAGAGAAATTATGTATCCATGAACATGGCCAGATTAACCATAAGGCAGAGAACGGAGTTTTCTATGATCCAACAGAACTGAAGTTGTTTATGGGCCAGTTATGGACTTAGCCAGGCTGTGCCCATAACTTTAATGCTTTTCAATATGGTTGTCTCATTTATCTCTGCTAATAGTTCCTTCACAGCTTCGTTTTCTAGAGGCTTTTTTAGGTAGCAAGTTTTGGAAAAGTTACTTGCCCCTTATTTCTGCATAGTAGATGTGAGAGTTATTTTGGTGCTTTTTCATTAAAACTCTTGAGAACTGGAACATATGCCCACTTTAATAGGGATCAGGTTGCTGTGTCAAAAGTTGAACAATCTAGTCCCAGTTCACTACCAAACTATCAACAAGACAGGTCCTGATTACCATATATTTAGACCCGTATTGAGTAACACCACAAAGGTGAAGAAACACTTTTTGAGAACTCTTATTGTAAACAGGTTATGCGATCTCTGTTTTTAACCTTTCTATACCATTTTTACGCTGTATATATTGCCATCAATCTTTTGTATACAAAAAGTGGTGGTTGTGATATTTTTCATTTCATTTGCATGTTTAACCAATGTATTCTTCAAAGCCGTATTTAATGTTTCATTGTTTGAGGTAAGATATAATTTTCATGTCCAAGAATTAGAAATAAAGCATTTCAAAATCTTCCATTTATTGTGTGCTAGCATATTTACTTCATTTTTAACCCACAACTTTTATTTACCATATCAAAGCAGAACTAGTTTCGTACTTATTTCGCACACACCGTGTAATCTTACTATAAATATGATCCGTTATGTGTGTGTGTGTGTGTTAGCATCCATCACCCAGAGCTGGCTGGCTCGATTAAAGCTATTTTTTTTTTATAATGGTAACTGGAAACTGTCCTACTGTGTACATCAGCTATTTTGTTTTAAGATTTTTGGTTGAAAGGGATAAGATAACAAAAAAACAAACCTGAAATAGGGCACGTTTCCAGTTTTTTTGTTTTTTCTTTATATAGACTTTTGGCTTGCATTACCAAGAGTTGGTTGGCTTGATTACTATGTACGTGGGCTACTTTGTTTTACGAATTTTACACGAGAAGGGGGAATAAGAAAATACATTTTCACTTTTTTTATAGACTTTTGGTTTTGAATTTAAAGATACAAGTGTTTAATCAGTTAAATGAGTAAATTATTACCTTCCACAAAGCAGGTTATGCAATTAGCATCTAATGGGGTCGTCAGGTATTTAATAACAAAAGAAATAAGGGGAACATTATCTATCGTTGTTCTTTATATAGTTTTTGCTTCTTTAACGGTCACCCTCAACTAGTGATACATAAAATTAGAAGGAATTAATACCTTTGTATTATAATGTATTTAGTGCAAGTTTCTTTGTAATAATTATGATTTCGTTCTATGCAATATATCCAAAGTTCTGTAAATATGGAACACCGATTTCTACCGGACCTTAAAAGGTGAGAAATTATCTTAAATCAATTCAGTAGCTTAATGGAAGAATATGAAACACTTGTCTGTTACTGAAGGGATATATCGTCACTGCGTTAGCCATACTTCTCTGTGTCATAAAAAAACAACAACAGAAGGCCAAAGTTGTATGGCATTTCGGTAATGTTAGCAGAATATATTGTTCTAGAATCGCAAGTTTCCAAACTTTATATGGGAGCCTTTTATACTGTGTCAAGATTTGAAATTTTTATAGCCGATTAAAACAAACTCCCGTGTAAACATCATCTCATCAGCAGATAAAGAAGGACTTAATGTTCCTGAATATCTTTGGTAGAAATTTTCTACCACCAAACTTTTCATTTTGATCTGGTTGACTTAGCGTCTACAAAGTTTGAGATTATTGCCTCGGCTCATGTTTAAAATCAAACTGGAAAATCCTCGCGCCTGCTGTATTTATGTATTTCCATGTGCGCTTAGAAACATCTAAAGTTCTAAACGTTCATATCCATTAAATGTCGCATGTGGTCTGGCCAAGCGAGCGAATTTCAATGCGTAACACATGCGGGCGGCACACACCGGCGTATTTATCACAAGGAGCTCTCCATGTGCCCCCGAATCAGAGGAACCCCAAACTCTAAATTAAAATGTTCCTATACATGTTTCGTATTTTATGAAGTATGAATATTACATACTTTATTATTGCTTATTTTCCATTTATTACACAAAGAACAATGCATATACCTTCACAGCGAAGTATGTGCTTTAGATTTCGTCTAAACGCAGTTCATATCACTATATCTTAACCATTTCACTTCTGATAAATGACTTGTCATCTATTGAAACATCTTAGTACAGCTTACTTTCCATTCCATATACCAAAATTTAAAAGCACCCTTTGAGCAACTTAAGAATTAAATGTCTTTGAAAGAACATAATTTTGTATTTCCACTATTTAAATACCGTATTGCCCCAATTAACGCCTCCTCTCTAATTATCACCCCCGATATTTTCATAAAGCTTACCTTGTGTGACAACAGTAGCATTCCAACAAATAATCCACTTTTATTACCGTAATTTTGATTTGAAAAAAAAAAAGAGAAGAAAAACGATCATACACACAGACACAATTATTAGTACTGAAATCAACAAATCGCACGTGAACTGCACAAATACTATAATTAGTGCCCCACCTTTGCAGTTTTGCAACGCCCCCGGGGGCGTTAAATAGGGAAAAAACTGTATTTAAAAACATATTTTAAATTTTCTATAACTTATAAAACACTAGGCTTGCCAACCCTCCCGGATTTGCCAGGAGTATCCCCAGTGTTGAATTCAGGAGGAAATCCCTCCCTGAAATATTTTAATTATTTTATATTTTTTACAAAGAGTCATTAACAACCGAATGAAAGTTTTGACGTATGAGGGTTGGGCGCGGGGCTAGCAACTCCACCCAGTAAAAACCAACCTGCTACAAGTAACTGCAACAACACCTTCCGTTGGCGAGGTGTTGTTGCGGCCCTATGCTCCTCTGGGAGTTTACAGGAATATATATATATAAACTGATCTAGCAAGGACTGATTCCGAAACCATTATGAGTTCACTTGACAGAGAGCTTATGAAAAGGAACCTAGATTTCAAGAAAATAAGTTCTTGCTCTTTCGATGGTGCTGCT